CTGCTGAGCACTGCCGTGCCAGACATGCTGGAGCTCCAGTACGAGCTGAGTCCAAGGCAGCGAAGTGGTACACCACTATTGATATTGCCAATGTATTTTTCTCCGTTCCTCTGACAGCAGAATACAGGCCTCAGTTTGCTTTCACCTGGAGGGGCATGCAGTACACCTGGAACCAACTGCCCCAGGGGTGGAAATACAGCCCCACCATCTGCCATGGACTGATTCAGACTGCACTAGAAAATCTGCAGTACATTGGTGCCATCATTGTGTGGGGGAATATGGCTGCAGAGGTCTTTGAGAAAGAAGAGAAAATCATCCAGATTCTCTTGAAAGCTGTTTTCGCCATCAAGAAGAGCAAAGTTAAGGGACCTGATCAAGAGATACAGTTCCTGGGAGTAAAGTGGTGTCTCGGTTTTAGAAGACAGGTGTCTGCTAGGGAGGGCAGGAGCCTCCCTTGGAATGAAAGAATGTAGGTCCCCTCCCTCCAAATTATTATAATTCTGAAATCAAGGGGCTTTCAGGCAGAGATCTGGGGATAGGAATAACAGTTCTTTACTAGTATAACCAGGCAAACAAACAACAATAACTACAGCATTAGCAAGAAAACAGAGGCTTTGTTTCACAAACCCCCTTGGGCAGTCAGTCCCGGTGCTCCTGCAGGGCTCTGAGGAACAGTTGACTGGAATAGCAGGGATGAGCTGAGATCCTGGGCCGGTGGCTGAGGTGTTTATCAGTGGCTCCGTGGTGGTGGCTGGCACTGCCATATGTCCTGGCAGGACAGGGGGTGTGAGGCCACCAACAAAGAGGGAAGAAGGAGAAGCAGCAGCAGCTCCATCTGGGTGATGGCAAAATTCCCTTTTCCCCACTGCAACAACTCTGCCCCCAGCGTGTCCTTCTCTGAAGCTGAAGAAAGCCGGCCAAACTGTCCCCACCCTCCTTTTTTTCCTGTCCCCTTCCCTGGCCCTGGGTCTGGCCAAACTCTTTGTCTTTTGTCAAGCACCCACCAAGTACCCACAGGTAGGTTGTCCCCACAACTAATGGGTAAAAATTCCATGGGCAAGCCAGAACTAAAAAAAAGACACCTAACCCCCAACAAGTGTCAAGATAGGTGTTGTCAGATCCCACTGATGTCATCAAGATCACTGCAATGTCTCTACCAAGCAGCAAGAAGGAAACACAAGCTTTCTTAGGTACCATAGGTTTTTGGAGAATGCATAGTCCTGAATATAGCCAGATTGTGAGCCCTCTCTACCTGGTTACCCGAAAAAAGAGTGATTTCCACTGGGGCTCTGAACAGCAAAAAACTTTTGCCCAGATCAATCAGGAGATCGCTCATGCCGTAGCCCCTGGACCAGTCAGGACAGGACCAGATGTGAAGAATGTGCTTTTCTCTGCAGCTGGGACCCATGGTCTGTCCTGGAGCCTTTGGCAGAAGGTGCCTGGAGAGACTCGAGGCCGACCACTGTGACTCTGGAGCCAAAACTACAGAGGGTCCAAAGCCAACTACACTCCCACAGAGAAGGAAATTTTAGCTGCCTATGAAGGAGCTCAAGCCACCTCAGAGGTGGCTGGCACAGAAGCACAACTCCTCCTGGCACCCCAACTACTGGTGCTGGGGTGGATGTTCAAAGCAAAGGTTCCCTCTACCTACCATGCCACCAGTGCCACATGGAGCTCTCATCACACAGCACACCCGTACTGGAAAACTGAATCACCCTGGGATCTTGGAGATAATTACAAACTAGCCGGAAGGTGAAAACTTTGCTCTCACTGATGAAGAGGAGCAGGAACAAGTGACACAGGCTGAAGAAGCTCCACCATACAACCAACTGCCAACAGAAGAAACATGCTATGCTCTTTTCACTGATGGTTCCTGTCGCATCGTAGGAATGAACCAGAAGTGGAAAGCAGCTGTATGGAGACCCACACAACAAGTCACAGAAGCTACTGAAGGAGAAGTTGAATCAAGCCAACTTGCTGAACGCAAAGCTGTTCAACTGGCCCTGGACATTGCTGAAGGAGAGAAAGTGGCTGTAGCTCTACTTCTGAGATTCATAGATGGTAGCCAGTGCTCTGTGGGGATAGCAGGAGAAGTGGAAAAAGGCTAATTGGCAGTGCAGAATAAAACCAATCTGGGCTACTGATGAGTGGAAAGATGTCGGTAACAGAGTAGAGAAACTTTCTGTGAAAGTCCGTAATGTGGATGCCCAGGAGTTCCCAGGAGTTGGGCTAATGAAGAGCACCGAAACAATGAGCAGGTGGATCAGACTGCAAAGATAGAGGTGTCAAAGATAGATTGGCAACACAAAGAATAGTTGTTCCTAGATTGATAGGCTCATGATGCCTCAGGTCATCAGGGTAGAGATGCCACCTATAAGTGGGCATGAGACCAAGGGGTGGATCTATCCATGGACAGTATTTCTCAGGTTATTCATGACTGTGAGACATGTGCCACGATCAAGCAAGCCAAGCGGTTGAAGCCACTATGGTACGGTGGGCATTGGTCCAAATATAGGTATGGGGAAGCCTGGCAGATTGACTACATCACACTGCCCCAAACCCACCAAGGCAAGTGCTACGTGCTCACAATGGTAGAAGCCACCACTGAATGGCTGGAAACCTACCCTGCGACTCACACCACTGCCTGAAACACCATCCTGGGCCTTGAAAAGCAGGTCCTTTGGAGGCATGGCACCCCTGAGAGGATTGAATCAGACAATGGGACTCATTTCAAGAATAGCCTTATAAACACCTGGGCTAGGGAACATTGTGTTGAGTGGGTGTACCATATCCCTTATCATGTACCAGCAGGTGGGAAAGTGGAGAGGTACAATGGGCTGTTAAAAACCACCTTGAAAGCATTGGGTGGGCAATCTTTCAAAATTTGGAGCAGCATCTAGCAAAGGCTACCTGGTCAGTTAATACCCGAGGTTCAACCAACCAAGCAGGCCCTGCCCAACCTGAGCCCCTCCATACAGTAGATGGAGTCAAAGTCCCAGTGGTACATGTCAGGGGTTTGCTAGGGAAGACAGTTTGGATCAATTGTGCTTTGAGTACAGACAAACCCATTTGTGGGTTGCACATCACGTTGCACATGATGGATAATGCAGAAAGTAGGAACAATATGATGTGTACCTCAGAGAGGTCTGATTGTTGGGTGAGAACTATGAGTAAATATCACTGCTTAATATCACTGCCCTTGCCTGTATATACATATATATATGTATATAACATATGTGTTTGTAGAGTTAGAATATATATTAGTTTTGGTAATAAGTTGATGATATGGGGATAAGGGGTGGAATGGCCTGGGGTGACTTTATGATGCTTGAATCCCTAGTTGCCTTGTTTATGTTACATATTAAGTTCTGCACCTTTAGGACTATGCAACTTTAGGGTATGAAGGGGGGGAAGAAGAAACAGACAGTTTCTGTTCGGAAAGAGCCCTCACTCCCCCACATCCTTCTCCTGGACTGCTGTGCTGTCTGCAGCACACACAGACAGCAGGGCAGAGCATTCCTTTGCTTTTAGTAAGTTTTTAGCTAGCAGAGACAGAGAAGTTCCCCAGACTTCTTTACTTTTTTCTTGCATCTGTTCAAACCTGCTCTGGACTGAAAACCCAGACAAATTCCGGGAGCTCATGCCTGTCACCCACTGGGGCCTGGGCCTTGTCATTTTCCAGCGCCAGAGGGGCTGATAAGAACCTGAGCTAGCTGAGCAACACCACATTAAAAAGACTTTTTTTCTGGATTTGCCATCTTATTGAACAGCGAGAAGTTTTATTGTTCTATATTATTCGATTTCTGTTAAACAGTTTTTTCCACTTTTCTCCAAAGAAATCTTTTTCCCTGAAGCAGCTGGGGAAGGGATCACTTGAATTTGCTTTCTGGATGGACCCCATTTGGAAGCTCTCGCTCAAATTTGCCCTATACCAAGACAAATACAATTATTGGCGCCCAATGTGGGGCTCGAACCCACAACTCTGAGATTAAGAATCTCATGCTCTACCGACTGAGCTAGCCAGGCTGGCTGAGGTGGGGAAATACCTGAAAGAGAAGTGCCATGATTAGCACATTTTTCTCCATAAGGTGAAAAAGATCATTGCAATAAGCTGAGCCCTGGTGTATGCTTACTGCTTGCTGCTAGATACTGTAGGGCAGCGAGATAAATCAGCAGCTACCCCAGTCACTCAGGCTGCAGCTCAGCCAGCAGCTAAACCAGACAGTGAACCTAAACCAATGGTTGTTGCTCCTAGCATGAGAGGTATGAAACACAAAACCAAAACTGATCAGCCAGTGAATGATGATAATGATGCGGGGGAAGGACCCTCGTCCTGTGTAGTGGTTTAGATTCACCAATTTGAGTTTCCCGGCCAATGCACCAAATAATGTGGTGGGTTTAGAGCTGGCTAAAATCACCAGGGTACTTACTAATTTCTTGCTGTGAGATATCCATTAGGAGAAGGGCAAAACAGGCTTAAAACTTAAAAGGAATAAAGAAACTTTATTAACAGGACCACAAGAATAAAAAAACCTGAATAAAACCTCCAGAACACCTTTCCTCCCTGTGCCCAGCTTTTTCCTTTCCCAACTGACAATGTAGAGATAAAACCTGGGATGTTAAAACAGTAACAGCTATACAATAGTCTTTTCATCAGTCTTAGTAGGGAGAGGAGTTTTCTGTTGTCATGCCATGGAGACTTCTCCACAAGAAACAGTTCTCTTCTGGCTTTTCATTTCTACTTATAGCAGCCACCTGGGCAAAAATTCTGCCATTGTGAAATTTCCTCCCATTTTCACAGCCCTCCTAGAGGTGTGTTCATGGGCCATGAACTCATGGGGTATTATTTTAAGGATGAGTTTTTCAAAGGCAAATGTTCTCTCCATCTGTCTCTGTGATCATCTCTGGGAACAGAGGTTTTCTTCTCTCCCTAGGGGAAAGGGTCTTCATCACTCTCATCTCTCACTCTTCAAGCGTGTCATAGGATCACAGCTACTCCAACATCTGCTTGGCTTCATCAATGGATTCCTCTGCTCAGATCTACAGCTTGTATACTTCATTCCCACAGTACTCTTTCATGAATTAAAGGAGACTCATTATCCATCTCCGTGGCCCTATCAAAAGAATAATTCTTCCCCATTCGGCATCTCCTCATCCCTCTTTCATCTCAGGCTTGACTCTTTCTTTTACTGACCTTGATGTTTTCATGTTGTCTCTCTACGTGTCACTTTGTTCTCTTCTTTCCATGGAGAGAGGATTGAGGTCTGCAGGTCTCATCTGTGTAGTGGAAGGGTTAAATCTTGCCCAGGCCTGTGGATGGTCATGTGAGCTCTGCTGGGGGCAGCAGCTGGAGCTGTTTATGCTGAATGATTTGTTGCTGCACTGGGCAAGGGCGACTATGATCTCAGGAGCCAGGCCAGCACTCAGAGGCTGCACACCGCAGGCTGATGTGGTGAGGCTTCCCCTCCTCCTGTCTGGCAGTTTCTGGTGAAACTCAGCGGCTGCAGAATTTCAGCCAAGCTGGGGCCGGCCTGGCCCGGCGGTACCACTGCAAAGGCCTCAGCGGGCTCCCCAGGAAGGGGTCAGCCCCCTTGGGAAGGGGCCCTAGCCACCCCAGCCAGATTGGGACCCAGAGGGCTTCCCAGGAGGGGCCAGTGCCACAGCAGAGCCTGGCCTGGCCCCGCCAGGCCACCTGGGCCAGGCAGGGGCTGGTCTCCAGTTACCTCTTCAAGGCCGGAAGCTAAGAGAGATAGTTCCCAGGCTTGTGGTTTTTAAAAGGTGGAATTCACAGCAGCGTATCTAATTTCTAATTGGCGCAAAATGCTGTGAGTTCTCAGAACTAACCAGCTATTGGCCTATCTCAGGCACAGAAGAAGCTCCCAGCAGCTTCTCTTAAAGAAATCACTTCCTTTTGTGTTTCTTACTTCTCCCCAAATATCAATTAATGTCAAACTCTGCCACAACACTATATGGGTTTTGCTGGATGAATATAATCCTCCCTCCCTGCCTTCTTTCACAGTTACCCTCATCCTCATCCTATAAATTTTGATGTGCTTTATCCACCTTTATATATTTGGTTTGTAATGTTCATGTCTTCACCTATATAGTTAACCTGTTGTAGCTTCAGGTAGGAGGTGCTATTACACAATGTATGAAAGAATAGAAGACACACAGAGCTCTGATTTATCACTTTTTGACTGGTTGGTGCAGCCTCTGCTTTTGAAATTCTCCTCTGGGAAAGTTGAGATTGTTTAAGAGGTGATCCCCTTTGTGATATTGTTCACATATTTGCTACCCTACCTCTGGATCTCAGTATCTCCATTTTATTCTTCTGTAAATCTACTTTTTTTTCTGCTGGATCATCTTACCAGAAGCACCCAGCTTTAGGCTGATAGTGTTATCCATGGATTTTACAGTGGAAAATCAGCTGACAGATGCCTGTAAGACTTTCCATTTAGTCTCACTAAATTGCTCTGGTGATCAATTTAGAGAAGGCAGAAAAAAAGTTTTGACCAAAATTTTACCAATATGTAGGGACCACCTGAACATTAAGTGAGCAAACAGGAATAGTAGTAAAGTCATGCGACGAGAAAAAGCTTTGAGCATCATTTTACACAAATGAACATAAACATTGCAGTTTACAGAAAGGCAATGGGTCCTGGTTCCCAGAGTAGCATGAAAAAACTTCCTTAAACCTCCTTATGGAAAGCAGAGAGTTAAAATTGCTGTTGTGTGTAATATTTCAAATCACGAAGTCATTAATGTAATTCATCCCAAGTTTTGTATTGGTATCTTTAACAATGCCTAGTTTTGTTTATTTTTAGGAGGAAGGACAGGTATACTGAAAAAACAAGACTGTTGTCTCAGAGCTCATTCATTCCTGTTGTAGCAAAAATAAATTCTTTCCTTTCAGAAGACTTGATCTATGCAGTAACATGGTCACACATTTATTTTGTCACTTGGATTAAGTTTCTACAACAGGGCTATGCTCATAAGGATGTAAGTTAGTTCCTGGCATTTTTCCAGTTATCAGTACTGAAATATTAATGATCAAATGTTTACTGAATGCCATTCCTCAAATGCAGGAACTCCACAGCATCTTGTTGCATTCATGGAATTAATTTGTTTGCATTATCTGGCCAACTGGTTCTTTTTTATTGCCAAGGTGATGAACAGATTTGACATTTCACTGATTATTTAGCCAAAATTAAACAGAAAACAGGGAAGCCATCCAAAGTTCCTTTCAGTGTGAAACCTAATTATAAAAACGCTTTGAGCAGCAATTTCTTTTGGGATGTTAAAGTGCTTTTATTAGATTGTTCCCCTGTCATTTTAAAATTTATTGCTAAACACTTGTAAATGGGGCTGCCTGCTGAAGTAGAATTATTTTATTTTCTATATTTAAGATGAGACGAAAAAGTGCATGGAGCAAATTTTAGCCTGAATTTGTTAGTATTTTACATGTTTCTGAAAAGGAAGGAGAATAGCTAGTGCTGGCTTTCACAGATCCAAAATATGTAATTTAACTTTGTGTTGAATAAAATTGTATCTGTTTTTTTTATTCACAATTCAGCAACTCCCAGTTTCCAAAAACTATTACTTAGCAAATAATGAAATCAAATATGTGATTTAAAATTTGAGTACAGCCCTTTGTTTTTAGAATCTCATATTATTAATGTTGATTTGCACAATTACTGGTGATAGAAAAAATTAACCATGTTCTTGTACCTTTCTTTCATAAGCCATTACCTGTTCTCAAACAGCATAAAGTATTCTTAAATCATTTGTCAGGGTCATTGAATATAAGTTGGCCAAGTGAATTTTAAACAGTAAATTTGGAACTGAGAGCTGAAGTGGGTCTTAGAAGTTTCTTGTGAAGTATGTTTTTTAGTGTCTTAGAATATGTTTCAGTTTTTATACTGCCTGTTGTTATTAACATCCTTTGGATCCCAGACAAGGTGTGATCTGGGGAGATTTCAAGGTGATAAAATTGTTGGGTTTTGCATATGATATTGTCTAGCACACTTTGGGTACTAAATCATATTGTGAGGACATAGATTAATTCTTGACACTGAGATCTATTAATATACCTTGAAGCCCAGTGAATTATGTGAATCTGCTGCTTCAAGCTGTAGAATTCTGCTATAACTAGGAGGAAATATTTTGCTGTAGGTAGATTAATGTTGAAAGCTTGTCAAGAAAAAGCTTAACATTTAAAATTTATTCTTTCTCTTTTTGCCAGTGCTAGCGCTTCTATGATAAATATCATCTGTGATCTGAGGAAAAATAGAGATATAATTTCTTTTATATTTATCTGTATTACTAGAGTTTCAATGATATGGTCTATTCCCTATTAAAAATTGCACCCCAGTGAATAATCTTACAGAGGGTAATTTTTACTCCTACCTCTCTGAGAGCTCAAAAAATACAGTAAATGTCAGTGATTATCAAATAATTTAATTAATGCCCATTGCAGGACAAGTAATTAAGATAACATCTGTATTAACAGATAACAGAAATGAGAATAAGAGATTTACTAAATACTAATTTGCTAAATACTTTTTGAAGATAATGGATAGTATTTAACATGGATGTTGTGATGAAGCTTTGAGTTGAGAGAATGCAGTCTGAGCAACACAGCTACGAGCAGGTGTACAACACAAATGTGGGTTTGTTTTACATTTGAGTGTTGAACTATATTTTCAGTACTAAGCCTTCTTAACTCCTCTTTGTATTTCTAAAGTGTCCAGAGCTGGGGGTTTAGCCTGGAGAAAAGGAGGCTCAGGGGAGATCTTAACACTCTCTGCAGCTCAGTGAAAGGAGGGTGGAGCAAGGTGGGAGTCAGCCTCTTCTCCCTGGCAGCCAATGACAGGACAAGAGGAAATGGCCTCAAGCTGCACCAGGGAAGGTTCAGCCTTGACATCAGGAAAATGTCTTCATGAAAAGGATTGTCAAGCTTTAGAATATACTGCCCAAGGGAGGTGGTGCAGTCACCATGACTGCCAGAGCACTGAGTGCCATGTCTGCCTGAAAAGATGATGTTCAATCATTGGCTGGACTGGGTGATCTTGGAGGTCTTTTACATCCTAAATGATCCTGTGTTCTAACTACTTGCTTGTCAACGTGTTAAGTAATTCAGGGCTATATTATATGGGGAGAAACACATTGCTGTAGATTTGAAAGTTCACAGATTATGCCCCTGTGCACAGAGAACACTGCTGTGTTTTGCTGCTAACAATGGTACAAATGAATGTGCCCTGTTGCTGTCTTTTATTGTGCCAGTGGGTGTCCTATAATTTAAAACTATATGTGTGTGTATGATCTAGCTGCCTGAACTGTGTAAGAACACTTCAAACACTCTAGAAGCATAAACTTAAGTAATTTCTCATTTTTCTGTTTCCCTTTGAATTAAGCAAGGGATGTGTGGACCTGGTGTAACAGAAGTGCTGTGCAAGCTCGTCAGGAACTCCTCAGCCAGGGTCATCTTAACAGTATTCTTTTTGATCCTGTGTTGGCTTTGTGACAATTTCAGGGAAAAGAAGCAGAAAAAGAGTCTATTTAGACCTTAGTGCACGCTCAGGTTTGAGTCTTTAGTAGAGCTCAAATGAGGTATAGTAGCAATTAACATTTGCTTATCAGAGCTTAATCTTGAATTTATGTTTAACTTTAAATGTCTGTCAGAAAAGACTTCATTGGACCAAAATCTATTTCACAGAGCTATTAAGGGAGAAGGAACTGCAAGACTTCTGGCAGGACAACAAACTCGTATGCTGAACTCATTTATATTTGCTAAACTGAAACTTCCTGCAACACAAAGGCCACCAAATTTTTTTTGAAAATAAATTGAGTTGTTTAGTCACTGCAAAGAAAAGACAAATGGAAAACCATATTTGTTTGCAAAAGTGCTTTCTACAGTATTTCTAACTTCTACCTATTGTTTCTCCATAGGTTGTGCCTGGCTGACATCCTCACTGATACCAGCCATTCTGAAGCTACTCATGCAGATGCAGCAGCAGTAACTGCCCAGATCATATCTCCTCATGTTCACTCAGCATCTCAGAAGCTTTCTGGAAGATAAGGAAGAAATCATGACAGCACTTGTCAGTAAATTTTGTACAGGATTTCCAAGTCCATTTAAAATAACAGGTATTTACATTTTCATTAGAAATATTTCCTAAATAATGTTTACCATATTTCCCTTAACAAATAAAATAACAATTTTAAATTCTGAACCAGAGAATTCTGCAATTACATAATATTTTTTACTCCAGGCCACATGTGAATAGAATTTATGTATATTTGTAAAAATAATATCTGTGTGAAAATCTTTCTTAAGAGCCTCAGGAAAGACTCAGCAAAGCATCTTCTTGTCTGATTTTTGTCTGTAAAAGAGGAATATTGAGAGCTGCTAATCTTTATGCCTGTTGTATTTTCCAAACTTGCTAGAACTCAAGCTCACCACTACATCTGCATTTGTATGATGATTCAGAGGAAAAGTAGAGTGTCATAATCTATGGTATTGTTACAAGAAAATAAAAGGTCTGTCTTTCTTGTCTAGGCTCCTGATCTGTGGTAAAACAAGAAAATGGTAACAGCAAGATTTTCCTTAATCTGGGTCAGTGAGAATAATTTAGAAAAACAAGATGACATTTCTCATTGCTTTCTAATGAGTGGAATATCTTCTTTCTGGCACTGTGGTCCCTCCCTCTCAAATACCAGAAGCTTTCATTCAAGCATTCTCTTCTCTCTAGTCTGGAAATTCTGTTTCCCAGAGCTCTGTGACAGAGTTTACTTTTTGGGTCTTCTAGTTTGATTTCTCATGTGTAATAGATCAATACATTTGGAAATTTTTCTAGTGAGCCCAGTGGTTAAGCACTTCCATTTGAATGCATGATTTTGTGTGGTTTTTGTGGTTATTTTGTTGTTTGTTTGTTTTTAAGATGCAAAAAAGAGTAGTACAAGGATGTGAGGATTCTGTGGTGACTGGGCATTACCTGAGATGTACTTAGGCATTCTTCAAAAGGCCCAAATAGAACTAGTGATGCAGAAATCAAGGGAACAGTTTATTCCTGATGTCCAGCAAAAAATGGAGATGCTTGTGCTGTGAACCCAGCAGGATTAACCTTTGCTGAGCTTGGTTCTGTTGTAGACAGTGGCATCTGACCTGATTTTTTTCAGATTATGAAATGATTATTAGAAGGTACCACAGTCAAGTGCCAATCTGAACAGCCTATCCAGAAGTCATTAGCTGGTGAATCATTTCCTCAATTCTTGCTGTTTAAGTTCCACAGGAATTTTAGTGGTATATATTCTGCCCAAGAAATGTAAGCATTAAAAATAGAACATGTATAACTTTGAAAAAGCTATTTCAGTAATCACACACCAGTTTCCTTGTAATATTTATAACTCAGTAATTGAATTGCAGTAATATGTTTAATTTTTTAACCATGCAGAAGTCCCATTTCCAGGTGATTCACATCTTAGTTAAAGTACATATGCACAAGGGATTAAAAGGTTATTGTCTCTTCAGCACTTCTTATTGAATATGCAGCATGATTATTGACTACAGAGAATTAGATTTAGAGATCAGCGACATGTATATGTGCCTTGTTGTAAAGAAGATGTATAATAGAATTATTCTCATACAGATCATTTACTGTTAGCTTTCTGCCTCCTATATTCAATTTTATTTAGTTATATCAAGCTTTATTTTGAACAACATGCTGTCACTGTATTGGGAATGGCGAGAAAAACGACACAGACTCTCTTGGGAGTCGATCAGGAGAATTTTCTCCCAGTTTATTGCTTCAGGTCTTTTTTATAGACCGATACGTGAAAGTACAGAAAGGAAAACTCTTATTGGTTAGTAAACTAACACATCACCATCATTGGTCAGGGGGGTACACCACCCCTCGACCTTCTCTTGCAAGAAAACAAGGAGCAGACAAACAGCACCTGCAAGGCTGTTCTCTATCTCTGAGGATTGTTTTAATTCTTCCTTATGAATTCCCAGGCCACTTTCCCAGGCAAGACTGAGAAAGTTATGTGGCCTGCTATTCCACAGGCACTATGCTCCTTGCTTCACAGTTAGCATCCATAACATGCAGTGAAATATTCCCAGTAGAATGGTGTACTAGGTAGAGCATATAATTTATTAGAAGTTGTATGTTGGTCTCTTCCACGTACAGAACAAGAGTAAATGATCTCAAGTTTTGCCAGGTGAATTTTAAAGTGAATATTAGGAAAAATTACTTAATGGAAAGGGTTCTTACGTGCTGGAAAATTCTGCCCAGGGAAGTGCTTGAGTCGCCATCCCTGCAGGTATTTAAAAGCTGTGTTGAGTTGGGCACATGGTTTAGTGGTGGGCTTGGCAGTGCTGCAATGGGTTAGAGCCGATGATCTTAAAAGTCTTTTCCACCCTAAACCATTCTATGATGTTACATAATTGATAAAATTAAGTTTATATTTTTTGTTTCCTTTTTTTATCTCCATGTTTATGAATTTGATATTGGCTAATAAGATCACTATTGCAAGTTGCAGATGCTTAAATATTGCTTTTAAATGCTGCAATGAGGGAATGACTTTTATTCAGCTTATTTTCTGCATTCCTAGAACTGTACCAAGAAGCCTCATCAGGTGAAGTTTTCCTGATGGCTTCAGCAGCTCTTGCCGATATTACTTTCTTTGATACCATGGCTTGTGAAATATTGCTCCAGTTAAATGCAATGAAGATTCTCCTAGCAGTGTGCTCAGACAAACGCATACTCCTCATTCCTGGGATCAGGTGAGGAATTTCTCTGCAAGCCACTGTCACATTTGTGTAAAAGCCAAAAGATTTCAGCACTATGTCCATTTTGACATAGCCAAACGTAAGTTTCTTTTCTATGACAGCTTTAATGTGATTTTTAAAAAATAAAAAATATTTCAGTTCCATTTACCTAAGATAGTAGAATTTATTGTTTTTCATCTTGAATTAGGACAGGGACCCAGACAGGGTGTGGAATCTCTGTCCTTGGAGAGATTCAAAACTTGACTGGACAGAGCTTTGAGGCAAAGATATGCATGGAGCCTAAATATACAGTTGTCACTTCAAAGATGAATTAGCTTCAAAAGCTGAATAAGGACCTGATCCCCAGCCCATTGATGTTGTTGGGCTTTGAACAAAGTCCTGTCTGCCTGGTAGATGGTTTGCAAATTTTTATTAGCAAATACTGCTAATGTACTTTTGCCTTTCCCTTTCCTTCTCACCACTATTTTTAATTTTTGGGGTTTTTTTAGTAAAGGGACACAGAATACTAAAGGTGTATGCTAATGCACAGATGAATTACGGTAGACTTGAGATTCTCACTGCCACAGAGGAGTTTTCACCCTTAATCAGGAGCCAGGCCTTGGAGATTAAGGCCCAGTGGACCCTAGAAACGGATTATTGGTGTTCTAGGGGGTGACAAGAGCTGTTTTATATTATATTTATAGCACTTACTAGTTTTTCAGCTCAGGACTGCATATAAAAAGATAGAATTAAGCCATAATTATTCAGTGCCCTTTGGGCAAAGTCAGAGATATCAGCTGTGATGTTGACATGGCTGTGTACTATCACATATGTACAATCCTTCACATTCCTTTTTTTTAATTCTTCCTGCATGTTCTCATAGTTTTGATTTCTTTATTTCTTTATAAAAGAATATCATCTGAATTCTGCTGTCAGCTGTGAGTTTGCAGTTTTCTCTGTGGGTAGCACAGGAAGCCCCTTTTTTTTTAATTAGGAAGGCAGACACTGAAAGAAATACATATGACTTTTTAAGGTGACAGGCTAATTCCAGGCCTTTTGCAGCTTCCAATATGCAAGTTCATCTCACCAGCTAGCTGAACAGCAATCTGAATGGCTTTCTTCCAAGAGCTGAGGAGATTTCATCCCCCATAACACTTCACCTTCCTCCTCAGAATGAAAAAGTAGAGCAGAAAGGGTGATGCTCTCTGTGGCATGCTGCAGAAAGCTTCTAAGACTCCTTGGCTCCTGCAGCAATGGGAACTATAAAATCCTGCCTTGGGGTCTTTTACTGAGGTGGAATCTGGGTGCTGCTCATCTTGTCTTTAAGAGCTTCCAGTAAGCAGATTTGGTAATGTGAAAGCCTTAAGAGAAGGCTTCCTTCAAATTCCTGAACAAGTGAGTGTTTGACAGAACTGCTCCCCTTGTTTCAGTCTTGTATTTGGGGGTGGGGATGGTGTCTGCCAATTACAGCAGTCTCACATGGAATATTTTGCCTTTTAATTTGCTCTGTGCAAAGTTGCAATGAGGAAAATACACTCAGCTGAAAAGCAGCACTACAATATTATATTTTATAAAGGCATTATAAATTGCCATTTTGGTTTTTGACTGTAAATCCTTTTAGGTAAGTAATGTAGTCAATATTTTTTTCCAGTCTATATAATACTATGTCCCAGACAGTAGACATTTGCTTAGGGAGAGATTAAAGATGAGTAGGTTTGAAAATTTTTTTGATTCGAGATTTTATTTTGGATTATGCAACAAATGTGAAAGGTATTTTCATGGCCTCTGAATGATCAAGTCATCTTTGCCAGTGAAACAGATGATTTGGAACTGAGTTATACTAAGGGTTGAAACAATTAAACAAAGTAAGACGATTTATAAAAGATACAGCAAAATATGGTCTGAATATTATAAAATTTTATAAAAGAGCCTCTCAAACTTAAATGCTCTGTTTTTCATACAAAACTTTAATTTAAGTAAAGTATTACTACTTTAGCATTAATGCTGATTTAAGAAATTTCTATTTTGGAATAGAAATAAATAGTAAAGCAGTTTTTGCTTTACTGTAAGCCAAAACTGGGAGGAAGGCAGCTGAAATGCAGAGAAGGAACACTGAACTTCATTTTCCTTTGTGCCATTGTATCTCATCTTAAATTCACACTATGTCCTTCTATATAGGACATAGAATTAATATTAGTTATCACCATTTGTGATGGTACAAATAAATGAAATTGTGCCTAGCTGTTGGATATTGGATAAATTGTGTACTGTCTGCAAAAAATATTTTACTGCTCAAGCACCTTTAAAATTATTCTGCCTTTTGACTTCTGGAAATCCTTTTTGTAAATGACAAAATAACCTTTCCTGTCATTGCTAT